GCATCTTTATCTGAATGAAATCAGATACTCGTATTTGTATCAAAAATTTTGTTGTTTGTTTCGGCGAGATATAAGCAATACACCTAGAATAATTTGCATTGTGAAGTATGTTGGCGAATTTAGCTTCACTTTGTTGGTACCGTATATTCATGCATTCTCTGTCACCCAACAAGAATCCAAATAGCAAATTTTTGACAAATTGTCTGAATAACGAAGCCCAACAAATTGATACGTCACACCAACGTGATTTCAAGACGTCATAGATACGTAACTGCAATGTCATAAAAGTGGCGGTTTCCAAAAAAACAAATGATAACTTCCCTTCCATACAACAACACTTGTATATACAAGGTGTCTCAAACTCGATGGCCTATTACACGTATTTGGAGAACGGAGCATAGGTTCATTTCGAAAATTCATTGCCTTGGATAATCAGTTCTGCTCAATCAATTCGAAAAGATTTTCAGCGCTGCGGCGTTGCCGCATCCATGAAGGAGTAGCAACATCTTTCTGATTTTGAATCTATCACGCTGTAAATTATTGTCGAAACTATTCATCATTGGTTCAAATGTCAGTAAATAGTGAAACAAAAGTTGAGATAGGGACATGGAAGCCATTTTTACCAATAATTAATATTTTCGACACAATAAATTACTAAATTTGAAATATAAAAACAATTTCCGCGAGAACCCAATGAGTGATTAATTGGTAAGAATCGCTCTACAGGGAGATACCAAATATACAATAAAATACAGGGTGTTCTATTCGAAATAACAAAGTTATTGCTACTTTTCGTAAGAAGCGGCAACGCTGAAGCGCTGAAAATATTTCAAATCGATAGATCAGAACTGATTACTTGAGATAACAAATTCAATGTTCAGGATGATCCTATGTCCCGTTATCCAGAAACGCTCAATAGGCCATCGAGTTAGGGACACCCTGTATATATAATGTACACACACATACCGAACTATAGGGAAACATGACGTTGACAGGGCATCCTAGTTACGTCATGAAACTGACGTCATATTTTACCCATCTAAGTGACGTTTACTCCACGTCGCAATGTGAAGGTGATTATAACTTCATAAAAAGTATGTCATAGTGACGACGAAAATTGGTGTGTGACGTCTCTGACGAAAAATCACCAATTGGGTACGTCACAGTGAAGTGACCATTCGTCATCTGGTTGTCTTGGATATGGAGTAGAGTAGGAACAATGTTGGTGCCAAAATTGACCTTTATGGATGCCGAATTTTATAGCAATGGTTATATCAGACGATGCATGCATTCTTTGTCACCCAACAAGAATCCCAATAGCAAATTTTCGACAAATTGTCTGAATGACGAAGCCCAACAAATTGATACGTCACACCAACGTGATTTTAGACGTCATAGATACCTCACTGCAACGTCATAACAGTGACGGTTTCAAAACAAACACCCATTATCTATTGTATAGATACCAATGATAACTTCCCTTCTCTACAACTCCACTTGTATATACAGGGTGTCTCAAACTCGATGGCCTATTACACGTTTCTGGAGAACGGACATGCAGACATTCTCAAGTAAAACTGAAAACCAAACATGTGGTTCAATCGAATATATTGGGTGGCTAAAATACAGTTTTTTTTACAAAACTCGCATATAAAAAAGTTGCCAGAACATATAGTTCAAATACTGATGAAATTAAAATGAACGAAGCATTTCACGTATTTTTTTCAATACATTGCTTGGAGTGCACAAAAAGCAATCCCTATAATATTCGAAGACCAACGTGTGTACCTAGGGAGGATAGAGAGAGGAGGTAGGTGTTGGATTTTTTTCTTATTTCCGAAATTATGGTTTCTTGGAAATACTACGTATATGTTCAACCAAGTAACTCAACTTTTTGTGCAACCCTTTATTTCTCCGTCTATTATTTTGATGAATAAAAGGATTATTTGTACATTTTCCTAGCAGCAGAATTTGATGATGAGGCGATACGTATTGGTGTGGGCTCGTAATCCCTTCTATTCAATTAAATAAACTCGATAATTGGCTCATTACACTCTCATTAGGCATTAGCTTCGTCATGCCTATGCATAGAAAGCTTTTGTTCACTGCCTTCCAAAGCCGGCGACTTAAAGCGTGTCGTTCATTGGTTAATTTTCACAGGAGGAGGTCGTCTTATATGTGGGAAAAATTGAATAGACACATTCTTTGGCGCAACAAAATTACATATACTCATAGAGTTATTTTTATCTTTGATCCCAACACAGGAAATAACTGTCCACTCCTCAGATTCCAAATAGGTTCTTAAGTTTATTCAATATTCCTACGATCTTTCTTCATGAGTAAGTATATCGCATATTTTTTATAAAGTCAATATGTATTCACCTACTACAAAATGGCAGAACATACTTAATAGTTGCCTGGTGAATATTTTTTATTCGAAAGTGTTTGGCGTGTAAGATCAAAAAGATCAAGGCAACCATTTTCAGCATCTCCTGAACTGAAATCAGTTCATTTCTTCTATGAATTATTGAATTATGAAGTCAACGTCGATGTGTTCAGGCAATTATTGAATGGTCCGCCATTTTGTAGTAGGTGAAGATATCGACTTCATATTCTAGGGTTGTCCAGTATTCGTCAGGAACTTCGAAAGGATGTATCACAATAAGACACTCCATTCTATGACATTTTTTTCCAGATGGCACCCAGTCGCCATCTTTCTTGAACTTGTCATCTGTAAATTTCACTGCAAAATATAGTATGCATGCATCAACTTCTGCATCCCAATTTCAATTTTATCAGTCGATCCGTTCAAAAAATAAAAGGAGGGGCAATAAATAAAAGCACTGTATGAACATATAGGTACTTGTTTATAAAACGTTGAAGAACAGTTGGAATTGTGGAGATAACGTTCACTGGTTGAAAACTGCAACGTTGAAACTTTGAGAAAATCCGAGAAATTGCCATGTTATTCAGACGTTTTGTTAATTTCAATGTTGCAAAAATGTAGGAAATAACTCATTTGAAATCGTATATTATATTATGTGAAGGAGAAAATCAATGGATATTCCAATCTTCCAATTCTTCAATAGATTTTCAGACATTTATTTCAGTAGGTAATTATTCACTTCCATCAGGAAATATTGATACAATCACTGGATATTCATCCACATCTCGATGTGATAACCCTACGTTTGAGATACTGGATGATGAAACGTTTTGCGATATGCCTCCAATTATGCTCGCAGCAGATTTTTCCCATTTTGTTTGGGATTGATTGGACTCTAGATATTTTCCAGCAAGATTGGATATTTTTCTGTTAACAATTTGATAAAAATCATCTTCTGATTTACCCAGATAGCACGTCCCGAAGACTCCCATTTCAGGTACATTTTTGGTCTGAACGTCCAAGACCTTTTATGGACGTTTTCAAGACGTTCATTATTGGACATACTCCGGACGTCCAGAAAAAGACGTATTTAGAACGTCTAATTCACAGACTCTCACGGTATATCAGTTTGAATGAATATAATCAGGTAGGTATTTATAAATTTCAAAATTAGAATTATTGAATTGAATATGGACATGAATGATGTCAAAAAATATATTATACAGGGTGTCAATTTGAAAACTTCCCACCCTTAATATCTCCCTCCAAGTCGATAATATGGAAAAACGAAAAGACAGGTCGATTTTATTTTCGAGGGGGACATGGTTCTAAAATATTCTCAGCCCCGCGGCGTTGCCGCTTCTAACGAAAAGAAGCAACAACTTTGTTATTTTTAAAATGGAACACCCTGTATTTTATTGCATTTTTATGATCAAAAGTCTGAATCTTGAACCACCCTGTATTTGTTTCAAATAAATGTCAGTAGATAGTAAATCAAAAGTTGAGATAGGGACATAAAAGCCGCTTTGACCAATAATGAATAGTTTCGACTCAAAAAAATCCTAAAGTTGTAAAATCTCGATTTTGACCACCCTATATCTCTGTAATCATTCCTGCTAGACCCCAAGTGTGATACATTGATGAAATCAGCTTTTCAGTGAGAATCTAAAAGTGCAATAAAATACAGGGTATTCCATTTGAAATAACATAGTTGTTGCTTCTTTTCGTTAGAAGCGGCAACGCCGCGGGGCTGAAAATATTTTAGAACCATGTCCCCCTCGAAAATAAAATCGACCTTTCTTTTCGTTTTTCCATATTATCGACTTGGAGGGAGATATTGAGGGTGGGAAGTTTTCAAATTGACACCCTGTATATCAACTGTATCAATATATTGAATTTCATTTCATTATTAATATTATGGATTTGAAATATTGTTGATTTTAACTGACTTATACCTACTTATATAGTTATGTTTATATTACTTCAATCACATAATACCTATACAGTTTAACGATTCTTAAACCCACACTGAAGTATTCATACAAGCCGCGCTTTTATAATAAGATTTGCTTGAATCACTGAATATGTAAAGCAACCGTAGAACGTCCATGAGACGTCCGTCGTCCGGAAATGGACGTCATCAAAACGTCCAGAATGTCCAGAGTGGACGTTTTTAAAACGTCCGTCTTATGTGCTGATTGGGTATATTCGATTGAGGAACAATATTTCTAATGGTTTTTGATTTCAGGATAATTATACGAACCCTCTTCTCGATCGTTTCATCAAATAACGAATTTCTTGGATTCTTGAAATTGACTTTACCATCAAGGCCAAATTAACTTTTGTGCAATACTTAATGAATACTACTCTGAGACAGATAAATTAACTGATCTGTTATTGAAGATTATTTCATGAAAATATTTCTAGACCTCTGATATATGTGCTTTTGCAAACCAATGATTGCATTGCCACCATAATTATGTGAGAATAAAACAACCAAAAATATGATTCATTGAATCATTATAACATCATGTATTGTTTCAGACCCGAATGGGACACAAACATTGGTAATAGAAAAAAAATTAACTTTATAGGTATACTTACATGAAGATGGAAAAAATGGTATCTCTATTTGGCTGATATTTTGAATATTTATTTATAAAAGTAGAATCACTCTCTAGACGATCTGAAATTACACTTGAAAACACTCACAGTTTCACCATAATAGGATAAGTTCGTTTTTATGCTAAATAAGAAGTAAGTAAATGCCTATTTGAAATTATGTATATTATGTATAGTATGTACACTGGAGCGAAGGTACTCTCGGAGAGAGTATTTAGCAAATGCTAGCACCAGTCATCGTCGTCTGAATCAGAATTCCTGGATCCTGTTGGCTTCGGCTTGAACCTGCAAAACAATCCACTATCAAAATCAGAAATTAATACGATAGAAACAAACGGAGTTCATTTAATAATTTTTTCCATTTTTCTCTCCCCACCATTGGATACAAAAAATATCGAATTTATTCTAGCAATATTTTTCTTGAGAATGTTCTGTAGAATTATTTTCAGTAGAATCTATATATTGAAAACTGTGATAAGAGAGTTGGTATGGGGAAGACCACTGATTTTTTGAAACGACATTATCGTGAACTCTATACTGAAAAACTACCAGTGAATTAATTTTGAATTTTTTCATTCTTGCTAAGACGATGAAAACAATAAATTAGAATATGTCCATTTCAAAGCAAGCAATTCCTGCGCCATTCGAAATTTTGTCAATTCCTTGGTGTGACTGGTGCGACGTCTTAGTCCCAACACGCCTATTGTCCTTGAACTGACCAATCACACTGCAACACTGCAGAATGACGAGGTATCAGAGAGAGATAGCTACAGGTTGGGACTAATACGTCACGGCTCCACCATCATATTTGGCTGTTTGAAATATCGAATGAAATATGCTGATTTCAAAACGATATAGATTTGATTCCCTTCAACTTCAACTCATAATATTGATTATGCATCTAACGTAACTCATGATTCGTCGATTAAAAGAGGTTTGCACAGATTTCTTCTCTCAGTGGTCTTCCCCAAAGAAAATTGAATGACCCATCATTGGTGTAATAGATATCTCGTATAATGTTGAAGATATTTATGCATAGGTATTTTGGGGAGAAAAATGATGTGTGCACTCATAATGTCAGAGGAAACTTGAATTCAGGTCAATGAGGGCTAATACTATTTTATTGTCCACCAGAGATCACGCTACTGAGACGGAAGGTCAGAATTGGTATATAAAAGACTACAGGCCCGTGTCAAAAATCGATGGGTCATCTGAACCACCAGAGGACCTATGTTGTAAGATAGGAGGGATTGAAATAATGAGATTAAGCACTATGCCGTCACTCGTAAGCTGTCCAACTGAGTGCAGGTGAGAATTGAAAGGCACAAGTTGAGTAGACATATTTTGGTCAAATGATTTTGTACGGCACTCTGGCCACCTATAGATGCATCAAAAATAATGAGAAAACGCGTAGTATCGTACAAAAATAGTGCGCCAGTAAGTCGGAATTTTTTTTCATTTTCCGGCTAATTTTTAGGGTAATTTGGGTCATTTGATCGCGTACGGCATTAGTTCCATACTTTGCAGTACCTCTCACAATCCATCATCTCGCAACGCCGTACAAAAAATCATGCGACAAGGGGAAAAGATCGAGGGTTGAAACCCCCTCTTTTCCGTAGTCCGGGGGGGTGATTTGAAAAAGTACGGCATCGGTTCCAAAACATAATGTAGCACTCAAAAGTACTAATAAAAATAATGTTATCTATGCATAAAATACTTTCAGAATGAATTATTTTTATGTTGTCAATTCACCCCCCCCCCCGGACTTCGGAAAATAGGGGGTTTCAACTCTCGATCTTTTCCCCATGTCGCATGATTTTTTGTACGGCGTTGCGGAATAATGGATTGTAAGAGGTAGTGCAACAGTATGTATGCCGTACACGATCAAATGACCCAAATTACCCTGAAATTTAGCCGGAAAATGAAAAATTTTTCCGACTTACTGGCGCACTATTTTTGTACGGCACTACGCGTTTTCTCATTATTTCTGCCTACTCAACTTGTGCTTTTCAATTCTCACCTGCACTCAGTTGGACAGCTCACAAGTGACGGCATAGTGGCTAATCTCATTATTTCAAGCCCTTCTATCTTACAACATAGGTCCTCTGGTGGTTCAGATGACCCATCGATTTTTGACACGGGCCTGTACGTCTATAACTGATTAAAACTGAACTCTGCGTCTTCGTACGATATATCTTCCTCTGTCAATATAAGAATTGGTCGTAAGATTCCACACTAAGAATGAAAAACTCAAGTCTGCTTAAGTTTTTCCATGACTTGGGTTCTTCTATTTATTCAAATAGGCCACTTTTTTTTTTCTTCATCGAATATCTTCAATAAAACAGGCCATATCATTTAGGGTTAACCAGCGAAATTTTTGGATTTTTGACTTTATCACTGAACTCACGTCCTCGCCAAATGATGATACTGACCCTCATTCATCCTCACAGATGGTAGAGCTCTAGCCAATGTGTTTATCGTTGATATGAAGAGTGTCACTGCACAACTTAAAGGCTCTAAAGGGGATCATTTTGTCATCGCTTCTCAGTATACAATGCTTCCTAGTTTGGTGAAGAGCTTTGAAAGTGTGTGTTTTGTGTTTTGAAGGAGGTTGTTTCAATGTAATGATGAAATGATGTCATTATAGCATAATAGTTTTGAGTGGCGTTGCTCAATATCTCATGGTTTCCGATGCCAGGGAGTGGAAGAATATCCATTTGATTGAATACTTCGAATGTATCTGTGATTTTGTGTGGTTGTTCATTGAAAATGTATGTATTTCAATTTCACGAACAAATCATCTAGATAATATATATCTACCTATATGTAATGAAAATATGTAGTTCCCATTATTGGTAATAGATATACCTATTATTCGAAATGAATTCAACTAAACTTGAATCAGCTCCTACTGGAAATCAATATACTCGAATCAGATTCTTTGTACAAATTTCACGACTTGAATATTCATTCGATTACTATACATTCAAATTTCATCATTCCATTCATGAAATTCATAACATAACCTGAAATAATATTAGAAATTCAATCAAGGAATGCTCAAGGTACCTCTTTACCTTCCTTGGGATTGACATTTCCTAGAGGCTTCCTTAGAGCTCATATTACGACTATAAATTGGAAACTGGTCATTAAGGATGCCTTAAGGGACAAGGTCACCTTAAGGAACGACTATAAATACGGTCCTTAATGCATGGTTGCCGAAATAATAGTGTACGCAAAACGTCCAGTTGTGGTCTAGCATTCTGATCAATTGCTTTACTTACCCGTTCGGCACCGGACTGGGCAGTATCCTGCCGCCCCGCCCGAGCGCAACGCCCTGCTCGAAGCTCAACGGCGCCTGCGCCGCGCTGCCGACTGGCTCCCACGCTGCCGGCGTCGCCACCTCGCTCGCGTTCGCGGCGGCGTTCATCGACGCCGTCGTCGGGCTGAGTTCGCGCAGCGGCTTGCGCTGCTTGAAGCTGAGGTGGGGGTTGCGGTGGGGGTAGGGGTGGGGGGTCGTGTGCGCGGACTCCGAATGTATCTGCAAAAAATGGTTATTTAACCACTGTACAGGGTGGCTGGAATTCGAGCCTCATCATTGGGATCTCGTAAATCGTAAGAGATACAGGGTCAGTTGAATCATGGCAAACTTGCGCAATTTGATGCCGAACAGAATGCCGTTCTGAAGCTTGGAAAATTCCGAATACTTCCGGAGATATCCGAAAAAAATCGAAATTTCATAAAACCGTTTTTATTTTTTTCTGGCGTTATTTGAACAAATTATTCGATATGAATGACACTTCTTCAAGGTCACTTTTTTTTGCCTACAAGACGGCGTATTCACATTCGAAATCTGACGTTTCGTCTTCCAGAAATCATCATCAACATACTTTTTTTTAATACGGACAGCCAAATAACTATGGGCTATCACAAATTCCGATTTCCGAATGTTTCGATGACAAAAATTGACAGTTTCTTCATTTTTTCAAAATATCACCGAAAATGGAAAAGGCGGCCTTGATTCCAGAGATGATAGGTCACGACCACTCGTCAAAGTATGACAGGTCAATGTTTTGAATAATTTGCGGGATCTAAAATAGTGTTTTCCAATTCAGAAGAACGTGATATGGTCCAAATTTATTATAGTGTTAATAGAAACTCGCAAATTTCTTGTGAGAGATATTTACAGCAATACCCCTAACGACCACAACCGCATTACACGTATTTCAATAATTTGGACAAGAATTAGAATCTGTATGGTAGTTTTAGTGAACCCCGAAGTGCGTATGGCGAAAGATTTGAAGCTGAAGATGAAGGAGCTGTCATAAATGCGGTAAAAAATGATTATTTATTTAATTCAATATTCGGCATAATATCTCATCGAAAAATTTTGAAGGTTGCGGAAAATCCTCGAGGTTCCACACGACAATTTGCTCTAGAATCCAGAAGATTATCACAAATCTTAGGTATCATCCTAATGAATTACCTGTTAGCCAAAAACTTAGACCAGGAGATAGTGAAAGAAGGCTTGAATTCTGCAATTGGCTTGAAGGAAAATTGCGAGCGGCCTTTTCAACAGAAATAATGAGCAATATTATGCAGTGCAAAATCGAAAACGGACATCATCCAATGTCTAGATGGGGCTGTATGGAAACAAAATCTTGGAGCCGATTATTTATGATGGGAATTCAAACCGTATGTTCAAAAATATGCCACGGGACATAAATAATTAACGCCAGAATTTAATATTCTAAATAACAACACTACGAGCTAGAGGAAGAATGATCCAGCGCGTGCTTACGGGCAACCTGCGAAGACGCATACGAAAATGCCTAGAGGTGCAAGACAGGATTATTAGAGCATTTACTTAAAAATTTGATTTTGTTCTTTTTAGAATTTATGCATAGTTATTAACAATTGGCTGAGTATTATAGATATCATTCAGCCAGAAGTTCAGTTTCGTGATAATTACCGAGTGCCGAAACTAGTTACATGTCTTATGTAATATAAATAGGACCCCGCACTTTCCTTATGGAAAATGGCTTACGGTTGAATTCCCTGAATTTTTGGTATGATGTAGATTTCGACTTCCTAAGCAAAAGGGTCCATGGGCACAAAGAAATCGTGTGACTAGTTTTTGAGATACAGGGTGTCGAAGATGAAAAGTGAAGCTTTCTGCTCAGAATTCTTAACGACTTCGAGAATTGACAAAACGTCCATTTATTCATAGAATAACATGCCTGAATGATGGTACAATGTCATCTGGATCTCGTATCCTTTATAATGACCACGGGTCCTGATAACCTCCCTGCAATGATTGTGAGAGATTGTGCATATGTTTTGGCTCGTCCATTATCTATATTGATCAATATTTGCTTGAAAACCTGCACAATGCCTGACTTATGGAAATTATCAAAAGTTTGTCCGATATACAAAAAAGGCGATAAATTCGACATCGGTAACTTCAGACCCATATCCATTATTTGCAATTTTGCCAAAGTTTTTGAAATACTCCTCTATGATAGGTTATATCAGCATTTGAGCAGTCAAATCACACCACTTCAACATGGTTTCATGAAAGGGCGTTCCACAATCACCAACCTTTTCAATATTACTCAATATATTTCTGAAAGCATTGACAGACGATTGCAAGTTGATGTTGTATATACAGATTTCTCGAAGGCATTCGACAGGCTCGATCATGGACTATTATTATCGAAACTATACCGTTACGGATTTTCCTTGGCACTTATCCAACTTTTTGCTTCATATTTCACTAATAGACGTCAATATGTTATGTTCAATGGTTTCAAGTCTGTCGAATATGCAGCAAGCTCGGGTGTCCCTCAAGGTAGCAACCTAGGTCCGCTACTTTTCAATGCCTTTATCAATGACATTATCGAAGTAATTGATGTCAATTGTTTGATGTATGCAGACGATTTGAAGATATATTGTCAGATAAATGATATTGAGGATTGTGAACGGCTATCTTCAAATCTGAAACGCGTTGAACAATGGTGTTGCAGTAACAAATTACCTTTGAACGCTAGCAAATGTAATGTGATGACATATACACTTAGAAATCAACTCATTTTATTTCCGTATGATATTAGTGATACAATACTTCAACGTCCGCCCACATTTACCGATTTAGGTGTCACCTTTGACACAAAACTTTCATTCACACCGCATATTGAAGCTACTTTGTCTGCTGCAAACAGGATGTATGGATTCATAGCGCGGATCTCTAGAGATTTTTCCGATTCAGCCACATCAAAAACATTATATTATGCCTTCGTCAGATCAAAACTGGAATATGCATCTTTAATTTGGAATCCGTCTCATCAGCTGTATATAGAGAAAGTTGAATCAGTACAACGTCGTTTCCTAAAACTTCTTCCCTATAGATCTGATAATGTATATCCACCAATCGGGTTTCCTCATGATACATTATTGGCTAGACATGCTATGAAAAGCCTCAGTTGCCGTCGTGATTGTTAATCCACAGTGTTCCTTTTCAAAGTGGTGAATAACATTATCACTGACTCACACATTTTGCAGAAGCTGAGTTTCACTGTGCCTAGACAAACTTCTAGAGTTTTCAATACATTCTATCTTCCGACACCACGAACAAATATTCTGAATTATTCTCCTCTCCATAACATGTGTTCTATATACAATAATTCATCAAATAATCAGCCAGACATCTTTCATTGCTCTATCTCTACGATTAAATCTTTTTATTTCAGCTAAGGTCTTGCTACTACTTTTCAAAATATGAAAAACTGTATTATTAGTTATACTTATTTCCCTGTTCTGTAGTTGGGTTTGACCTGTAGAACAGTGTAACATTAAATAAATAAATAAATAAATAAATAAATAAATAAATAAATAAATAATTTTGCGTTTTGGGCTCTACAACAGGGTGAACAAAGAAAAATCCAATTCGATTAATTCTCCACCAACCAGGGTAAGTTCTTTCATGAGAGTTAGAGATCCAATTGGAGTCTGGACGAACTTCCTCAATCTCGATCGAAGTTTACTGGATTTTTTTTATGCAGGGTGGTTCGAAAATAGGGATACGTCAATACCTAGTTTTTATAATCGGAAAGGGGAGAGTATGTCATATATATCAGACACTCTTTAATGTTGAGAACGACGCATACTCAGTTCATATATATAGGGTGAGTAAAAAGATACAGTCCAAGTTTATTGAGAAAATGTGATTTTTTTCAATGAATACCCTGTATTTCGAAAAAGAATCGGTTAATTTTCTCGAATTTTTTATATTTTGTACGATTTGAGGAGTCAGAGATATTGTCATCAATATTAGCATAGGTCTCTGGACTTGTTTGTCGGCTATATACTTTTGAATGTACGGATTTCATTGATACCCGATATTCTCCATTGGAGTCCAAAATGGGCTATTTTCCAAGAATTTAAGTTGGAAAATATTCCGACTAGATTAGTGCGGTACCTATTCCAAAGATGAAATACCTTATAAACAGGGTGAACGAAATGTTTTTCATTTGGAAGCCCTGTTTCCGAAAGAACTAGAGAAAATTGAAATGTATCGGAAGCAATAATCCTCTCAAAGTTGGAACTAATTCTACAGTATATTGGAAAGCTTTTTCTATTTCAAGAAGAAATTACCACAAAACGTACATATTTCTCTTCGCCTACTTCTGAATTTTGGGAGGTATAATACCTCCACCATTCATTTGTTCATTGAGTACTCAATATCCCAATTTTGTAGAAAACGCACATTTAAATGGGCGTTTTCTCAAGCTTTACTTTGCATCTTTGAAACCCTGTATCTCGAAAACTAGTCACACAATGTCTTCGTGACAATGGACACTTTTTCTCAGGAAGTCAAAATCTACATCATACCAAAAATTCAGGAAATTCAACCGAAAGCCACTTTCCATAAGGAAAGTGCGAGGTCCTTAGTTGTGGTCCACCGACTTTGGGTTCTTCGTATTTTTCCTTCGATCTATCACTCACGTGAGTGGGCGAGGCGTTCAGCTTGGGAAAGTTGATGGAGCCGGAGCGCAGCTGCAGCGTGGACGGCTTGCTCGGCGTGGGCGGCAGACGGCGGCCCTGCCCCGCTGTCTTGCTGCCCAGCGTCGGCTGGCTGTGCTGCATCTTGCCCTGGTGGGCAGCCGACTGGTGCATGGGGATGCCTACCACTGCTCCAGCTGGAAAGACGGAAAGATTGACGTTGGTATTTTTTTATCTCTTGGAGTGCACGAAAGAAAATTCCTACCCAGTTAACACCCTTGTGATATTTACATACATATGCCGTCAGTGTCACATAACTGACTCAATGACTTCTCCATGACTTAGTTCCCCCAAATTTACGTCAATTTACTGTAAATTGTAGATACAAAACTCAAATTATTGTATTTTCCTTGAATTTACAGCGATATTTTCCATCTTTCATATAGCATTACTACATATTGATTATAACATCTTCGTAACTATGCAAACAATATCTGGGAGATTATGTTTATTTTATATAAATTCATTCACAACAAATTTATCTTCAACAAACGGATATGACAACGACCAATATAATTGCAGTATTCCTCGAGTTAACACGAACGAACACGAACGATAGATAATCGAGCCTGGACTCGCTCGAGGGTCAAAGGGGTCTCGACACTCTCGTCCCAAGTTAGAAATAAAATGGCGTCATAGTTGTTGTTTCGTTCCGTTATTGTTCCTTGACCAGCGAGCTATCTATATTTCAGTAATTTGATTGGAACGTGGAGTATTCTATTTCGGTGAGTTGAATATTGTGTTTGATGTATGTTTTTTTTTACATATGACAAAAAAAGGTCCGCAAGGTAGATGATGGTCGTTTATTACATTCATCAGCAATTTGAGGTAATTGTTTCAATTATCAGCCATGTCAAGATGTTGAAGATAATTCGAGCCATATAATTCAATTATTGTTTTATGTTATTGTTTTAGATCACCAATATTGAATCTATATGCAGTATAGTGTGATATGGATATCAATAAATAGGTACCTTATGATTTCGAATGATGCTTGGCAACAACTATCCCAAACGAATTTGGAGTTCAATTATTATCTTAACTTGTATGACAAAAGAGGGAATATAAGAGTGGCAGACTCAGCCTCTAAGAACATCATCTTGTGAGTTAGTGAAATTTTACTATTTATGATGTATTCTCTGTTCAATAAATTATTAATTAAGTAGTCTGGTTATTCGCTTTTATTTATATTCACAGAATTCAAATGGTTATGTCTCAATCATATAAGTGAGACATAAATGTTATCTAGATCCTTACGTCACATTGACTACTCATTGATGTAACAATGATATAAGAAGTATTACATAGAAGTGATGTAACATATAAGCAACTGAGCAAAATGCATTGATTCCAATTTCAACACTTTTCAAGTGAATATTACTGAAGTCATATATTTTGGTCAATGCACAATCCATAATGTTCAATTCGAGCAAAACGCTTCAGATCCATATCCAGATATATGAATTCGCCATATCGAAAATGGAGATTCAAGCAAAATGGGTTAAATCCTATGAATGATTTAACAAACTGGCATAAATCCATCGGCTGGTTGTCACTGAAACGAATCCACAAGAGAGTTTTCTGTGAATGATTTCGTTCTCAAGGAAGTTATCTGTATAAATGTTTTCGTTGAGTTGAGTAAATTATCTAGGGATGGCCATCTTGATTGAAGAAATGTTGAGAATGATTCTTGTGTGTTTCTGTTAACCATCACAGGAAGATGTTGGAATACATATTTGAATGAAATATTATTCTTATTATCGAATAATTGTTGAAACTGATCGAGCAAAACTAAATAGATCCATTAATATTGAGCAAAATGCTATAAATCCACACATTGATTGAGCAAACTGGCATAAATCCAACAAAAAAAGTTGAATAAATCCAACCTTTCCGAGATTGTTATTCATTTCGATTTGTCGATTATATCTGATTCAAACAGTTTTTCATCTTTTACTCGAAATCATATATTATGGATTTAAACCGTTTTGCTCAGTTGCTCCTCATATGATGTAACGTGATGCGGACATTATGCAAAGTAAACTCATGAATTTTGAACATACTCATTACCCCTCCTGTTGCGTAACTTATCAACGAAATTATGTAATGTTTATGCGTTAGTTACGTGAATTTGTTTTCTGAGTAGAATGTTCGGAGAACCTCATGCGTACCTAGGAAAGATAGGGAGAGGAGGTAGATTTTGTTTCTTTACCTTTGGAGGCTATATTAAGTTCTTGGGAATACTTTTATTGGCAAAGAATTGCAAAGCTCTGCCTTTATATAAATGAATGAGTTTTGGTGAAGTGTTGTTGGACATATTTCGAGGTTGACAACGGAAGGATGTGCTGACTGGGCCTGTCGAGTTCGTCTGAGTGGTATTGCTACTGATGCAATGATAGCAGAGATTTCTGAGGAACATTTCCCGTAGAAATATCTATAAAAAAGTGGAAGGTCGACGAATACTCTACGGTGTTCTGATGAGGTCAAAGAGTTAGTGGGTGTAGCATCACCTACCAGGCGAATGCTTTCCTCTGGATAGAATCTAAGAGCATCAGCGTATGTTCGGGTGCTGAGCCCCGAACATGAGAACAGTATTCTGAAACACCAATTCCTTGATATCAGTGCAACGTCGCCTCGAAATGATGTGTCACAATAAGACCCCCCCTTTCCAACTAATTCGATTCCCAGATGACGCCCATTCGCCATCATGGAATCTTAATCCATCGATTTTACTCCAAAATATAGCATTCATGCATAAATGCCATCATGCCAAGTTTCAATTCTTTCAGCTGTGCCATTCTATTGTCTAAATTATCAAAAGTTCAACTTTTTCATTTCTATGTAAGTAAGTATTCATTGTATTTATATCCAATGTCATTGTTGGTTTATCTAGAACTAATTCTTGTATTGGGGTGATGACGGGCTTATATAAGCCCGAAACATAAACCTCTATGTGATCGATCTCTGATCGTCAAATAAATGTTGTGGAGATGACTTCGAGTTTCTTCATCTATGAAATATACCACTCCACTATGAGTTACCATGGACTTTCTTACAAAGATTAAAAGGAGGGGGCATTGGAACAACGCACTGTATATAAAAAGGGACGTTGGAATTCACTAATTATTTCTATATCGTGTTCGTTTTTGTAAAGAGAAGGTTCTCATGAGAGGAAAAATCACGAAATTCATCATGGCTGATCCTTTATGGCATACGAGTGAAGTGAAATTTGAAGCAAAGCACATAGAACATACGCAAACATAACATGAACTTGTGGGTCCGATCAAACAGGCAGAAAACAGCAGCCGGAACTATTTTATGATCCTGTGTACTGGACAATGTTCATGTTCTGTTTCCGTATGTTCTATGACCTGTGCTTCGCCCCAACTTCACTTCATTTTTCAAATTGTCTCTGTTATTGTCAACAATCATTTAACTTTGTTACGAAATGAAGTGCATGATGATTTTTTAAAATTTCTTGCTGATTTTATTCATTTACTGGGGTATCTACATAGTCTTCCAAATCGATTTTCCTCCTTAGAAGGCCCAAAAATCACCAACATATAATTTGTTTCAAAATGTTCACAATATAATTCTTTATTTCATTCCCATGTGAGTAGGTACCTTCAAATGTTGTTTGAGGTAGAATACCTAGCATTGTGATCTTATGTAGGACTATATTTTCACTTCCTCGGCTGATGATGGACATTATTGATATCCGAAACATGTTTCCACTATTCTACTCCACTTTGTGTTATGGACTTCTACACTATGTTTATGCATTATTTACGTGAATTCGTTTCATGGGGAGTGAGCTGTGACCAAACCTTTCCTCTATGCCCAACCCAAACTCAGCCCGACCCCTTGGGAACCGCCCCCTACTCATTCTTACCTATGAGAGGCGGACCCTGCTGGTGGGGCGTAGCCTGGTGGGTGGGGCTGGGCGACCTGGAGCGCTGGCACAGGCTTGTGGTGCCGTAGTCAACAAGCGGCCTCCGATTGGAAGGCGGGCCCATGGGTCCGTACCGGCCCCCCGGATTGTTGGGGTCCCGGAAGAGGCGCTCGCAACTGGGCGATGGGGACCTGGCTGGACTCGTTGAGGCCGACCACGAACCTGTGCAGAATGGAGACACTAGAGTCTAACTTGCTAGCGCAGGAGTCGCCGACTTCGACCGAACGTCAAAAGTATGCGGCTATGATGATAGCGAGCAACGACATAAGCTATAGGTATGGTAAAAAACAATTAATAAACGTGGGTAATCTTGGAAAGGAAAAGGAAGATTCGGAAGGCGATGGAAGAATGTTTAGTGAAAACTACAATCTCTTGATGGCGACGGTGGCGTATGTACTATTTCCGTATTTTCCGATTCGATATATTATATAGGTACCTATACCTACTATATTTTTCGCAGTTGGTAAAGAAAAATAGCCCCAGTATTTTCCGTACCCTCCTTTCATTATTGTAAATGGATTTTTTCAAAGCAAAAATAATGACGAGATTCTCAGGAAGCTCACTGATTTTTTGTATATAGGTACATAAAGTCGTGATGCCATATCGGCGGTTGGGGAAATATTTTTGTCACCACTAGCTATCAAACATACCATTATTTACTCCTTTTCGAGGCGTAAAGTGTGTTTCTACTGTGTTCTCGTCATATTATGAACCACTAGTTAATGAAGACATGGCCACCTCCCAGCCAGCAGGGTGACGTCAATTCTCGTCGAATCGACGTGGATAATAGGTGGTAATTGGTCGTCGTCAAGATTCGACCAATAATTGACGTCATTTTGACGTGTTCCACAAACGTATCTTATAGACGCCATTTGCACCAATCATTCTGTTTTATTTCGAAAAAATTACTCCATGAACTGCATATCCAGGACTCATGATTGAACGCTTATCAAAATAAAAACCTAACCTACCTTAGTAAAGAGGATTCACGTATACTCGACATGGATAAAACTAAGTGGTGAAATATGTAGAACAAATATCAATAAAAAACACCCTGAGAGAGATAACTTGGTAACAGATACGGAAGATTCAAGAATTTATTATATGTATACAAATACGGTTATACCAGGTGCCTTCATGTTTTATATTGGCGCGCCATGTCAAGACATACAGATGCTTATGATTGGTCAATCCGTGCTCCGAGGCTTCGTGTGTCTTCGTTTCGCACAATGCCACCGCTACCCCTATCGGACATCGTCGATCGTAGCACAGTTTGTCGTAATCATGCGCATGCGTGATCCAGTTCATCGAATGTTGTAATGGCGGGTTCGTAATTTTGGGTCATGGAAAACAAGGATACTATGGAAAAGTGGGGTTCAGCAAAATATATTGCAGTTCGCTGGTTATTTTATCAATTCCAGGCAATAGGAATGTTTGTGGGAATACAATATTCCGAGGAAAGGCATTGCTCTCGTTCAGTAGAAGTAGTTGACGCCATGACGCCTCGTAAGGCTGCGAAGTGTAGTGGCCGCCTTTCAAACAGCAAGACTTTTTCAACAGGTCAATAATTGAGAAAGTGAAATCTACAAATGAAACTTGGAAGGTGTTTGATGTAGTGAGGTCGTTATTTGAAGAAGGTAATCTATAAATACCTTAATTAAATCGTAGGTACAAGAATAATTTGAGGTTATTAGGTTGAGATTCCTTTGAAACTTGACATCTTCGTTTATGTCTATATACTATGGAATATAGTGGATTTTATGCTTATTAGTTCTATTCAGATGAAGAATACCTATGTATAATTATGTAAACAAATAAAAAATATCCACAACTATTGTAACTAGATCATTTGAACTGTTTTGCCAACCAACAAGGATTAGGATCATGAGAAAGTGATTTAGAGTTTCACAGTTTCTTGGTGATGTCAAAACCTGGACCTACTTGGTAACTATTCGACGTGTAGAGGACGTCGCTAGCTGACGTCGTTACGACGACGCTAAATGACGTCGTTACGACGTCGATGAATGACGTCGTTTCGCTGTGACATATTGACGTCACATTTACGTATCTTTCACGTTGATAATTTGGTCATTTCGACGTAACTGGTGACGCATATATGACGTGAAATTGACGTGTGTGTGCTAGCTGGGCTCTGTTGGAATTAACCTAAATTCACTGTTTTGATGCGATACTCGCTGGAATGGCACTCGAATCTATAGTAAATAACTACTTGTCATATGCTGTCATGGTCATGACTACTAGATTCAAGATAGAATTGGAGAGAAGTGCTTTCACAGTGACAATACGTCCATATTTCAGTTTCACAGAGCTAGTATGATTGGAATGTGTTGCTAGTGATGAAAACAATTCAATATACACCTTGATAGTGAAGAATATCATTACCACGGGACCTTATAACCCTCGGCTGAAGCCTTGGGATATAATCTTGGTCCCTGGGTAATAACGATATTCTTTACTACCTTGGTGTATAAATAACTATTTCCTGAAGGTTATCAAGAATAAAATAAATGGAAATTGATCTTTGGTAGAAGTCCATATTGCTCAAAGTGGAGTGGAATATTTCAAATGAAGGATGAAAGATGACTTCGAGCATTCCTACCTTCGTTTGAAATGAAAATTGACGTATCGGGCGATTTTTACAGGCGAGAACTCAATAATCCCAAACGGTATCAAATATAAGCATTTTGGTGTCATAGTAATGGTGATATTATATGTGATATTATAGAATACCTATTATAGGTGATACCTTGGGTATACAACGATACAATCCAGTTTGTTTTCCAGAACCGCACTCAATCCACATGAGTTGCAAAAACTTGCCAATAATATTTTAAATCCGAAGATTCAGATATCGGAGTAACCCTGCTTTGCTAAAATAACTCTGGTTTGCCAAAAAAAAATAGATCATGGATTACTGAGATTTTTTATTTGCATCGACAAATGCGATGATCTATCAAGATGATGATGAAAATCTCAGGAACGGTGATGACCAAGCATCAGATCGTGATTGCTCTGATGAAGAAAATACAGAAAGTCTCCAACGACAGAAGGCTGAGTCAGCCTATTCCTGGTAAAACTTGAAGACAGAACGTACTTTTAATTCGCTAGAATTCATGAGGGATTCTTAGGAATTGAGATATCATGGCATCGCAAGCCAGGATGTAACAAGTTCAGTTTTGCACGATGTGGTGCTTGAAAAATTTTTTGTTATTTTGTAGAAAGGAACTGTTTCCAAGATTCCACCAAGAAATGAAACTTCCTCATGGTATTAAATTATTTCACAACTTTGTATTGTTCGACACCTAAGCTATCATCACATGATACGTTATTTTCCAAACAAAAATATTGAAAAATATGTGATCACAGCTACTCAGCGTCTTTCAATGAAGATAGTGTGTAATCAAAGAGCTCTATTCGATATTATGGAGATATCTGATATATTCCGATTTTCGAGGCCTATACTTTTATTAGTTGATGTGGTCAAAATTTCAAGAACAATTCGGCATTTTTATTTCGAAACAATGACTAGCCTATTCGATTCAGGCATAGCTGAAATACCCTCATACGGAGTTTGAACGGAAAACCCCATATATGGTTTCGAGTTATTTAATGACAAATTTTCATATTTTTTATTTTTTGATTCACCCTGTATCAGAATCTAAGGAGTTGATATATCCTGTGAAGTAGTCATTCAATGAAGGAACACATCGAATACTTAGATACGGAGTTTCATCGTTGTAACTTCTACAGGAAGAGTCGTAGATCTAGGTCAACCAGAAATCAATAAAATCAAAGTTGAGGTTCACCATTTTGAAAACTCAAGTAAACCATTTTCCACCCACTCCACCACACAGTTACTTCTGAAATCGTCTTGATTGATAAAGAGCTGTCGAATATAGCACAAATGGAATAATAGACAAATACTCTCCAAAAACTCCAAGGATATATACTCATGCTTGATGTGATCATAAAATATACCAATTTTGGCAAAATGAATTAAAAATTTGGGATGACAATGGAAATTGTTATGTATAGAAACTATTTCCAAAAATTATTTACCATTATTTATATCTCCAGGAATGAAGATTTGGATCATGATAAAAAAATTATCAACTTCCATTCCATTAATTTTCGATTAACCTAGAGAACAATTTTTACAATTATTTTAGAACTTTCTGTACAACTAACAACGATGAAATTTCGTATCTTACTATTCGATGTATTTCTTCATTGAATGATTACTTCACCACTTTTATCAGTTCCTTCAATTCCGATACAGAGTGAATCAAAAAAATCAAAAATATCAAATGCCTGAATCGAAGAGGCTAGTCACTGCTACTGGAAAACGTTGCCTAATAGTCGCTTCTGAAATTTTGACCCCTTCAACGGACAAAAGTAGGACTTGAAAATCTGAATATTTCAGATTTGTCCAGATCTTCGTATAGAACGCCCGTTGATAACTATATGATTAAATTTTTGTTCCTGAAAATCGGTCGACGGGGTTTAATTTGGGAGGGTGTTCCGGGGTGGAATCGCACACTCTGTATTTGAATAACAGAAAATGATTTTCATCAAAATTAAAATGTCTATTTAGTGGTGGGTCTAAAGAGGATAAATTTGGTTAAGGAGCGCTCACCTCTAGGGAATCTGCCCCTCTGAGACGCCCTCTGGTGTTCGTATTTGACTATTTCCACGACATTGGAGACGGTGTCTGAAAATCCGATGTCGTGGTGCAGATGCTGTGGGTACCTTCTTCGAGGAGAAGGACTTCGATGGAGGGACGGTGAATTGTGCCTGAAGAAAAAACATTGAAGAACAGTTCATATTGAGTAGAACATCTGAGAGTATCATGAGACTTATTTTTTTACTCTTGGAGCGCACGAAGAACATCGCTCGTACCTAAGGAGGACAGAGAGAGGAGGTAGGTATTTGATTATTTTTCGAACTCTTGGTTATTCAGGTTAACTAGCGAATTATGTAATCAGGTTTTCCCAGTGCTGTATTCAAGGCAAAATTTTGAATCAGACTGTATTCAGTTCGCAAGAAAAATACATTAAAACAACATTTTCACTATATTCCAATTATGAAAGATGAGTTACGTCAAGCTTGTAATTTCGCTGTATATCTAACTCCGAACAATCATTGTAGAAAAGACCTTACTTACTTGTTAGGAAGCTAGTATGTAATGTCTTTTTGACCCTGCACAAATTTTGACTTCTAGGGAGTTACTTCTCAACTTCGAAGTAGCGATGCATATATTTAGAAAAATATTTCCATAGGCAATAAAGAGCTGTCCATCATTCTATAATATTATGATCATATAATGACAATAAATATTCCATGGATCCATACTCGTTGGTGGATCTGCACTGATTTAATTTTCCTATTGAAGATTCGAGGGAAATGGAATTATGAATTCAAGTTCCAAAGAACACGGACTCCTAATTGATGTTATATTCAGAATAGAATGATAATGGGAACATAACGTCACCCTAAGAATTCCATAAAGAATACAGAATGAATTGAGAGTACTTGGTGTTCCATTAGAAACAAAGAAGTTGTTGTTTGATCCCGGTAAATAGGCTATCATTGTTGAATTCAATAGCTGTAGTTGGGTATCAATTTACAAAATATTTATGACAACGAGAATTCCCAGGCAACCAAATAGAGTTAGGTGTACTCACCCTCTATTGGGACTGTGCTGATTGTAACCTCCAGGACGAAGGTAGGTTTGTTCTCCCAGACTTTCACATGACCCTCTATGTGACAACATATCTTGCATGTCCAGGACCTTAAACACACATATTTCAACTTCACGAAAAATAGTATTACCGATATTCATGAAAATCAAGCAAGTGATGCAAGTCATGCAATTGTGAAAAACATTGATAAAAATCGAATGTGTATAGAAATGCAAACTATTCTATAAAAAATGTCGATACATTGCCGATAATACAAAAATATATTTTTGAATCTCTTACATAATTTCAACTATTTTCAAAATTTTAAATTCATCGAAATATCGGTATACTGTGCGTTCAAAGAGTCGGTCATCAAGTGATAGTTCCGGATTCAAAAAAATAACTTTATTATTATAAAAGTATCTATTATAATGATAGTATTTTTTCAATCAAACAAGAAATTGTAGTGAAAATCGAGTTATTCCTACATAATATATATTGAACGCACTGTATATCGAACAACGACTGAGCTAAAGTGAATAAAATTTGGAAGATGCCTATATCGATCAATGATGAACAAAGAAAATGATATATCATATGAATTTGAACATTTCGGAAACTCTTTTAGTACTAAATGAGTCACACAATTAGAGTTTTATTTAAAAAAAACTCCTTTCTTCACATCTTATTGTTCCAAGGGATCTAATATGTTCAGATACTAATAGACGTCTTCATTGGCTACAAACATTGCTGGATTCAAGTAACAACTCAATTTTCCTAAACTGAACACTCATAAAACTATGAACTAGCTATCGCTCACAAGTATTCTATTCTAAGAGTACCTTCGCAGATCACTCTAGGAATCTATTAATAATATTATTTCATTAGAAACCCTAAATGGTATATATTATTTCATGTTTTCTAAAGTCCACACTACATGACATTGACTTATCTAAGACACACACTCAGAGTTACGGCCATTTATTGAACTGTGTTCACCTTTCTGGACCTGAAACAAAAGAACATCATGTTGTATTGTTCTTTCTTTAGAAGCGTGAAATACGCATAAAATAATTATGTAGGATAAATGCCCCAGTATCGGACAAAAGGAAAAAATTTGCATTAAAAAACTTCCAGTGAGAATCACATTCTTATTCATTGTCTTCACAATGTTCAGTGTCAATATCACGAGAACTAACAATTATGACTGAAGTCATATTTCGATATATTGATTAGTCGTGAGCCAAAACGATTATATTGGATTTCAAGACACCCTATACCAGGTGTCACAAAGCTTTCAGGCCAGAAAATATCCAACATATGAAAAAATTTCAAAAAATTGTGGAATATGTGGAAAATCTCTTCAGGGCAAAAGAATCGAATCCCCCTCATGTCGAACAGTCTACAAACCACATCTGATTTCTGTTTTTCATATTACACCCCTATGTTCTTCCGGTACAACTTTCCATTAACAATGATATATTGGACTAGATATTTAGCAAGAAGTTCATCCTTGGCGAGAAAAAAATTCGATTTTTCCTTGAATGACTGTTATCACTTGGTTCACTTACCTCATATCGATCGTGATGTATATTCGAATTGAACATGACAAGGTGAATCTGAATAAACATTGGGATGCAAATTGAAAACCAAAGTAAGAAGTGGATTCTAGTCGATTATCTGGACACAAGGTTGATTTGATTCCACCATTTTGGAGAACTTTTGCTCCCATAAATTCCACAATTTTCTGAAATTTCTTGTATGCTAGATAACCTAGATATCTTCCGGCCTCAAACCTCTAGGACACCCCGTATAGGCTCACAAAATGAATAACGACAATCACTCTTGATGATACATCAGCTAGTTATGATTTACTTTCATGCAGCTACTATGGAAGGCAACTCAGTTGTGTCCATTACTGGGACATTAGCCCAACCCTTGTCCTTCTGAATGAAAACAAAGTGAGCAAGGTATAATATATCTGTTCATTCAAAAAATGAAAGATCGCCCTCATTGACGATTATTTCAGTGAGCCAGTGATTTATCTTATTAGGTTTTCATTTAAAACGACAATGTCACAAATATCCAAAGGATCGACCCTCACCTGAGCGACCTTCTCGTCTTCTTCGTGTTCCTCCTTGCCATGGTTACTAGTGGGCCCTCTTCCGGTAGCTTGAGTAGCGTTTCATGCTCGTAGTCCGCCATCAGGGGCACAGCCTCCATGCTGAAGCTGCCCGCCCTGCTCTCGCCCAGCTGGCCCGCCATGTCCATCAGACAGTCGAAAAAAGAGGCCTTCTGTGCGGCACGAATAAATGGATCTCAAATCGGATTCGGAGAAACAAAACACCTTCGATAATGTCAACGTGCGTCTTCCATAAAGATGGATATGTTTTTAGGGTAAATTTCTTGGAAACTAAGATACAGTTGAGTTCAAATAGTGAAATCCGCATCCGAGTAGGTATTATTCGTCATTAGTCCATGATATAAATAACTATCTGATAGACCACGTCATTTTGTTTCGTCATTTAGAAAACTGGAGTTTTCTCTGGCTGGCTCATCCAGCATTATAACTGACTTCATGCAGCAACGTAACAAGAATCTGAGTTCTACCATAATATCAAAAATCAAATCGTTTCCAAGTTCTCTCCCCATTGTGGAGAAGATTCAGTACAGACTTCAAGTTTTGGAATGAAAATATTGAAAAACATCAAACCAACAATAATCACTCGTTCTTCGAGTGTGATTCAGGATGAGTGTCAAATTCTAATCAATTATTATAATATTTCCAGTTTCTCAGCCATTATTTGGAAACAAGATTTTTGCTCTCAATATTCTCCATGAATAACCTTGAAATCATATCCAATCATCCGACTCCTTATATCTTTGTACTATACTTCCACCCATGCTACAAAAGTACTGAAACACGATATTCGTATTCCTACAGAATGCGATTGAATAACAGGATATCATACGAATTCCATAAGAATGATGTAAATGTTTCGACTTCTTGATGCAAAACTTATGTTTCACATACCTAGTACATTTTCGAAGTCGTACAAAACCCAAATAGAAAAAGTACGAGATGTATAATAATTTCTGAAAACAACGTATATTCCACCTATAGTGTGTGATGTGTGATAAAGTTTATTCTCATATGATACACAGTCACCAACCATACTGTATTTCATTAGTTTCCTTGCATCTCTTCGAAGATCTATAATAGATATATTTATAAGCACAGATTGTGAATTCTTCAGGAATATTCAAGAATAGATGATCATTTTATCTAGTAGATGGACTAGGGGAGTTTTGCAACATCCCAAGTATTGCTCGTCAAGAATTCTCCTGGTATATCTACTACTTACTAAGCAAATATACTGTTCCATGTATTATTTCCATGGCAATACATATAGTATTGTGTCGTTACTGAGATTGTATGCTGAAACATCAATTCTTCCAGAATTAGTTTCTTTGTATTTCATTTTCTATAATGATTTTTTGTATGGTTAAACCCTGGAAAATTTTTCATGCATTTATGATATATTATGATGCAGCTAATTACTTATAGATTATATTTTTATGTATTTGATGAATTTATTATATCGTTCAAGAATATTCGTGCATTGCATATAGTGAATCTAGTCGAATAAACATACAAGTCACAAAAGCGGAGCATTCAAAAAATAAATACATTCAACAATATACAAACTACATGGAAAAAAGGAAGTGAATTAGAAGTTGTGATATCTTTGTTGTGATAAGGGTAACAAAGTACAGTATTTTCACGCAGAGCAGTCAAGATTGGTACAGAACCTTTTCTGAATGGAAAACAAGAAGATCCCAAGCAATATAATTCCATTTGAATGTGAAGAAATATGTGGAAACAATAGTTCATCAACCATGAATATGAAATAACGTCAATTCACTAGATAGAAATATTAGAAATTCAATATTTTCATGACGTTAATCTCTTTTGTCCCTCAAGGAACTCGAAATCACAGGTAGATATTCAGATTACAATTCTATAAAATAAAATGATTATAAAAAAATATGTTGACGATAAAAATAATGAAGAATATTAGTATGTATGGAAAAATGATAATAATAACAATCATAGTGATAATGAATAATAATATATAATAATAATAATAATGATAATAATAATAATAATAATAATAATAATTATAACAATAATGATTGTAATAAAAATAATAATAATAATATTGATAATAATACTGATAATAATAATAATGAAAAGTGCTAATAATAATGATAATAATATCAATAATGATGATAGTAATAATAATGAATGAAATAATAATGGAAATATAAATAATCCTGTTGATGAAAAATCAAACAGATATTGTTCAGAACACTAGACACATCCTTTTCAGGGTGATTGGTTTTTCGTGATTTCCTGGCAACACTGCACGATTTTGCTTTATTGCACCATTTCAAACTTAGCCTGAAAAAACTACTGATAATGTCTAGCTCAGTCTCGATTATAATCATCACATTATCTCCCAAGGACTTCATTCACATAATTCCGAACAATGAAAACAACATTGAAGAATCCACCTCGAATATTACTGTGATATTTCAAGAAGGATTCTTTATGTTTCTTTGACGATAAAATCATAAATTGGATCATAGTCCAATTTGGTTGATATGATCGATTGAAGTCTCCTTCGATATTATTATCGTTTTATTGAAAATACAGCAATTTTCAATTTGTTATTTTTTCACATTCAACAAAGTGACTACAATTTTGAAGGAAAATGCTGCTGTTGCTTATTATACGGGTATAACCGACAAAATATGATATGAGTAAATTGTGACCTGTGAAATAGGACATTTTTTGTACCCACACTGAGAGAAACTGGGTATTAAAAATATTTACCAGCTCTGATTGTAATAACCATTATAAAGAAATCTCCTATTCCTGATCATTTTATTATTACAACTTACAACAGTATTCTCTCCATTCTGTAGTTATTGGAATTGCTTTCTTGAACCATTTGTAATACCCTTGAAGGGACATTTCCTACCATCATAACGCAGGTGTGTTACGACATTATGAGAATTTTATAAATTCTAGTCTATTTAGATTTTTTATAGACATAGCTCGTTTTGTGAAATATGCTTATCGGTAAATTCAGATAATGTTTGTCCCAATGATCATAGCTGTTTGGGTTTCTAGCATTGTACGTTAAAGAATAACTATAGCAATTCACATGTATGACGGTTATTAGACAATCATTCGACAATCGTAATTCGGCTCATTTCGCTCCAGTTTTTCATTAGTTTTGGGGCTGACAAAGCTACAGATCGCGTTCATTTTCACTTCGGTTCTCGGTCATGGGTGCCCGTGTTCAATTATTGTTCAATGGTTTCGATCGTCCGAATCGATAGAGCCGTGTCTGAAAAAAGTATTCTCCATACCCTATTTTCACGGCCTAGAATGTGTTTATTTCGAAGAACAAAATGATCGATGAGATTCTGAATTGGAATATCTGGGTTTCTGTGAGGGAAGTTTTATCGACAATTCTCATCATAACTCCGTAGGAAGAGTGAGTATAAGTATTCAACTCCTCATTTCTTAATAAATTCGTCATTATGCATATAGATGATATTTCTCCAGAAATATCGATGAGAAATGTCGAAAACTCCCAGAGAAACCCAGATATTTCAATTCAGAAACTGATCGTATTTTTTGTTTTTTGAAAAAAAAACTTTGGATCATGAAAAGTAAGAGTGGATAGGATATTCATTTTCATTGCATTAATTCGAAGGACGGTTTCATAGTGCTTACCATCGAACAATCGGTCGATCATAATGGTGGGGATGCGTATGCAAAACCTCACAACTGGTAAAAATTTCAAATATTTTAAAATCCATGAATACAAAACCCCTTATATGAAAAACAAAATGAAAGGGGCAATCAAAAACAGGTATCTAACAGTTGGCAACGTGATTCACGCCTCTGATATTTTGTGTTCAATTTCTTTTCACAGAGAGCAATCTCTGCTAATTGGTGAGTGACTTTTTATAGAACAGATATGTGAAACAGTTTATTCTCAACTTCAATTGGTATTTCAACACACGATGTGAAAATTTATCTAAGTATTTGTTGAGCGGAAAGTCCAGAAAAATGAAGTTACGTGTTTTTACGAATTATGACTTTTTTCAATGATCAATGTACAAACGTAAGGATAATAATAATCAGGTGGTTTGTTACTATTTTTTATTGAATCTGATCAGTTAACCTGAAATTATAAAGTTTTCAGTGTCTCCTGAAAATTTTGTTTTTTGCTGTTACTTGGTTTTGCGATTTTGTCGACGTAAAATGAGACGAATTACTGCGTTACCCCAAAATGGTTGTGCCGGTAATGAAAACAGGCTGTTTTATGACGATAGTCGAATAACCACTGTAGAGTGGATAAGTTACTGCAACATTTATATAGAAATAATGTCTATTCGACACTATGTGTTATCATAAAAACTAGAACAAGTTGAAATTATTCAGCAGCGGTGTTTATACAAGTTTGTAAATTGGAATTGCTACCATAACTACAAGCCACCTGAAAATCCACTTCATCTATGGTAGTAAATGAACACATCCGTCCTTTATTTATTGCAGATATCGTAATAACGGTTATCAGATTTCCAATTATGATAACTCAAGTTTTCTCTCAGTGCAGGATTACAAATTCCCATATTTCAGATTTCTTCTTCATCTTATTATTTTCGTGGGAGACACAAATCGTGTTTTCTCACGAAAAATGAATAGTGTTCCAATGAGACGAAACGAAATACGAAGGGAAAATTCATAGGAGAGGAGCCCTCGACACTCACCGGCAGGCCCGTGGGCGCCATCTGGCCGAACCTTGTGCTGCGCCAGCTCTCGAGGATCAGCAGCCCGCCGTAGATCTTGCCTACCGTCAGCTTGCCCTCGTTGAGCTGGTCGTTGGGCGGTACCAGCAGGTCCACCATGTTCTTCGCTTGCAGTGGCCAGATGTTGCGGATGGTCACGCGGAGCTCGCTATCGGCCTGGTCCATCTCGTCGGCTATACCGAAAGAAAAATCTCAGTAGTGATTATCGAATATTTGTTAACGTCGAATTTATTCATAATAAATTAGCCATATTCATAATTAAGAAGGCTCATCCATCAAATTCGTACATGTTTCTATGCTTCACTTATTAACAATGAATATTTGTCAATTGTGAACAACATCATTCAATAATTAACAATTCATATATTACGCCGATTCACGAAGTGATAATCAATAAGATGAATTTATAACTATAATGTGATTTGGTGATAATTAACAATGATACAGAGTCTGTTAATAAGTCTATGTGTATATATTATGATACATTTGTTTATTATAAGTATACGTGATATAATGGATGACAATGGTATTTAACTTCATTCTCCGTTTGGTAATTATAATAATTCATTTGGTATTAATCAAAAAACTGTCATGCGCATTGGCCATCATTTCAGTTTAGATCCATCATATATAGCGTAAGCACTTTCATGAAATTGTTGATGATTTCCTTGTGATTTCGACCAACGCGAAAGTTATGAAGTGTGATGGATATATTAGTTCAATCCCTTATATGACAGTGCGGGTTTGTTTATATTTGGACATGTATATTCACGTCTACAATCAGCTCCTTGAGATAATGGCAGACGACTATCAGTGCATTTATTATACAACATTTTCTATGTTTTCAAAAAAACTGTGGTGCATGTTGTGCTAATCAATCAATATTGCAACATTTCGAACGTTAGTAGGTGCGGATAGCTATGTAGTATGCATGAATATTTTCTTATATTATTCGCTTAGCTTGAATTTGAAAGAAAGTTATTTTTACGCAATCAGCCCTGATCGAATAGTTTGGCTATATACCTATATAAATAATATTCGTCAACTATTACTAAATTTTTTATCGATATAAGGCTCAGAAACAACCCCTCGGAGTGATCCACTAGTGGTGGTAATATATTAGGAAATTTAATGAGTCAATAATATTTTTTTCTGAAATGAAGACATAATTATATCAGCGAACAAAATATTTATTCATTATCAATAAAAGGTTTCTTTTTATGCTGTACTTAAGGATATATATTTGGTTACTAAAAACAAAGAATTTGAAATACAGAATATCATTTGGTGTGGAGAAGAAATACATATATATCCTCAGTTGATGAATGAATATCATCATGGAATAATCATAATTTAACCATGTACGAGGCTCATTCATGGAGGTGTGAACAAATAAATTGTTTTTTTCAAACAAACGTTCAATAAGCCATATTTAAATGACGGATTTGGTAACAGTTCATCATATTTATTCATTATAACCAAACTTTTTTTCAGTGTAAGGAATTCGAGTCACGAATGGTATAGTTATTGATCATACAAGGGGATAAAGTTGTGGATTTCAGCTCGTGGTCGTGACGAAACAAAAAACCCTTATCTTGAATCTGATATTGTTTCCGTGTTTGATACACTATCCATTCCTGTGACAGAAAAAAAGGCGATTCAATATCTGGACGATCAAAAAATCACCTACGTGAAATTTGGAGTTTTGAATATAACTTACACCTACGTTCCAGGTTTCTTTTTGCATCATCATATTCATCATTCTTTTGAAGTAATCAAACATCTTTCAGTCTAATTATGTGATTTGATTTTGAGAAATTGTGAACTCTGTGGTTGTTTCGTAATTTACGTAACCTCGAAGAAGAATGGGAGATGAAAGGGCTTGTAGTTCTTTCTCGGAGATGGTGTAATATAGACGCATTCGTCGGAACAAGCAGAACAAAAGCCACTAACAGTGTATGTAGTGCTCACTTTTATCCCGTGGTAAAAAAGGAGACGGTATTATTGACTCATTTTTCGGAACTATAGCACAACAAAAGCCATCTACAGTGTATACAGTGAGGGGCAATATTATGGAATAAATTCATTTTTACGAGAATAGGCAACTTTTGAGACAAATCCCGAAACACGTCGATTTTTATTTCCAAATTATGATTTTGTGGAAGATATGTCATACTAGTGACGTCATCCATCTTTGCGTGATGACGTAATCGATGATTTTTTTAAATGAGAATAGGGGTCGTGTGATAGCTCATTTGAAAGGTTATTCAATTCTCTATGCAGTGATATGAACATTAACATAATTATTTATACAGGGTGGCCAAAAAAATATTTAATTTGTAAATGAAATTAATTGTCACAAAAAGAAGTATTATCATTTATTTAATACAAAATTACATTGTACTACTGTCGGAAAACAGAAAAACAAATGAGTTGACAAATAAAAATTGCTTTTCGCTTAAATTAAATGTTCAAATTGCCACCCACCTGCCTCTTGGCAGTAATTGAACGGACGAATACATTCTTCTTGAACATTGTGGATCATTTCTGGAGTTGAATTACGAATTTCCAATGTAATGCTATTTGTCAAATCTTGGAAATGTGTGGTCTATCGGCGATCTGGATCATCCTCATTGATTTTGTCTACTATTGAAACACTTGAAACAGTTTATAAATAAATGTTTAGAACTGGTGTGCTTTCTACTACTATGAAGAAACAAAAATAAATTCCGATATTAGGCAAATAAATAATGAGAACTAAAAAGATAGCAAAAAGTATAGTTTTTACAAATCGAGTTGGCTTGGGTCAAATGTAAGTCAGTTCTTGACATTTTCTCATAAGGACTAGTTTATTTCATGAAATAAATAAATAATGGCCCCATTAACTGAAACACAAAGAATCGAAGTATTAATTATGGTTGGATATGGAGATAGAACCAGAACACAACAAGAAGTATGTAATTTATTTACCATAAAATATCCTAATACGCCTATCACACAATCCACTGTTAGTAAAATTGAGAAGAAATTTAGAGAAACTGGACACGTGAAACATGTTGCAAATGCTGGTCGTCCACCAATGAATGAGGATGTGAAACTGTCTGTATTATTAAGTGTGGCAGAGAATCCTCAAATTAATTCTAGGCAAATTGCAGCTGATACAAACATTTCTAAAAGGTCTGTTTTACGTGTGCTGAAAAAAGAGAAATATCATCCGTATAAAATTCATAATGTCCACGAAATCAATGAGGATGATCCAGATCGCCGAATGCAGTTTTGTGAAGTAATGCAAGATTTATGTAATCAAAATCCACGCTTCATTCGTGAAATCCTTTTTTCTGATGAAGCAACCTTCTGTTTAAATGGAACAGTGAATCGGCAAAACTGCAGATATTGGAGTCAAGATAATCCCCATTGGATGACTGCGGTACACACTCAGCACCCTCAAAAACTAAACGTGTGGGCACCCAATAAACATTTTTATTTATATATGAGTTACCGTGAATGTTATAGCACCTACCTTAAATAACTTGTATGCACTTATTTTAGTAACCGAAATATTTTTATCGCCTCTATAAACCCTCTAAAGAGCTTAAATGGGGCGTTTATAAAGGTTGCGATTACCTTCAATCAGTAACGATAAATAGCTATAGGTTTTATAACCAAAAGTAAGCGTATTGTTTTGGTAGCCGTTATATAAACTCTTAAATAACTGTGGATGAACACTTCAAGTGATGTAATAAAGTGTTATTCAAGTTCTGGTAACCCATATAAACTTTGCCTGTAAAGGTTTCAATAATATTTCTGTTACTCCTATTCTGTCATTGTTGCTGTCAGAATCTTCCTGTCATATCATTCTTCTCTCTTGGGCACATTTATTGTTTCATTTTTTTCTTTCATATTATTCATATCAGATGTTATGAGTTGGTTGAAGTAGAATGAACAAGTCGCTATCCTGATTAACTGTGACATTGCAACAGTATTTAATTACTTATATTTTGCGACTTCAGGTAAATAGTTATGCATCAAAAGAAGGTGGTAGACATGTTTTACCGTGAATGTGAACTCGATGCCTCGAAAAAACACAAGGGCTTTCATAATTTCTCGTAATTATCAATTTCAATTCGGATTTAGAAATTATCGAATTAGGGTAGAGTGGAGCAAATTGAAATGATTTCAAGTTTTCTGTAATGCTACGCACCTATAAGAGTCGTGGCTCTCCTTAAACGGTCATGTATGTCATTATTCTCTTTTGCGTCTAATCACGAGATTTCTCAAAAATGATACCATGAAAACAATATGTCAGTCAGTCATCTTATTTATGTCGAATTAAACGGGCTTTCAGATTCTTCACCCACTTTAACCATTATTCAATGGACAAAAAGATATGATGTGATTCACACTGCAGTAACAGAATGCCACTAGTGTCCTCTCTATGAGCAATCACAAAATGAGTTACCAATTCATTACTCCAAAACAATCTTCCCCATGAACATGCACTCTGTATCTCCTTATCCAGCAACATATACTTTATGAGGCATCTTAGGCTAAATCTTCATGATTTGGTGTTCACTTTCTGTAGTTAGAGATTTTCCCCCTGAACAATTTTACCATTCAAACTATTCATTAATTATTTCTATTCTCAACTGAGCGGTAAGTATTTCCCGCTTTGCCCACGTCCTCCCTATCGAATCATGGCGGAATCAATCAAAAGAATAAGAACTCATATATCACCAATAGTGATGTAATATTGATAGAAGTAAGCGTATATATCATTAATTCGTGTTATATAAATTTTCAGTGATATAGCAGTGTTGGAAGCATTTAGTGCGAACTTTGAATACACTCAATGTTTCTTTGTCTTTGTTTATAATTGCGAAATGAAGAATGATAGATATAATGACTTCCGAGTGCATCGACTCATCGAGCAAATAAAAGCCCGAACTTAACCTCAAAAAATATGAAATAGATTGGATCAATTTGGATTGTATGTTGTGAAACGTCGTTCAAAATAGTAAGAACCAAGTACTGATATTCTGCTCAGTTTTTTCTGATGTGTGCATACATCAGGATGCTCTTTGTGGTCTATCTGGTTGTAGCAATCCATGAGCATTCATTTCTTGACTATTTGCATATTGGAAATCTTTAGAAGGTGATGTTTCTGCTGTGTTTA